AAATAGTTGACTAATTGTTCTATTTTCAATAAGTTGTATGGACGTCCTGTAGCCACAGACTTGGTCTACGGACTATTGCCTTAAAAGAGGCAAACATTCTGATCACATAGATCAAAGTGGACATAGTCACAGTGACTCGGGAACTTTTGCTAAACTTTACCCATACTGAAATGCTCTTCCATTGGATTGTTTTGAATATACACCAAATCTATTTATTTGTCTTTTCCTAGTCTTCTTTATCACTTCCTTGTGTAGCACTGAACAATTTCTAATGACAGAAGCCACTATTACAGTGTTGTCAAGGCCCTTCTCATTCTCTAGTTCAAATCCTTGTTCATGCTGTTTGCTAAGTACTTGTTCTCTGTGACAGCTTTCAGCCAAACAGAACACACTGAATGCTGCATTCCAAACCACTCTGTCCTGCTGGGCTCCGAGTAAAACAATCTCTTCAAACTCCATCATGTGAACTTTTCACAAGGAACAATCTCCCTCAGACAATTCCATTCAGACATACTATCCGTGAAACTGGGTCTCGGGAAGAGGTGACATCACAGACTTTCCCCTCTGGCCAGGGTCATGACCACCAAAGTTGTATTTAAGAGGCTCCCACGTGGTTTGGCACATGATTTTCTTAACAATTTAACATTTCCCTCAATGTTCCTATAAGCTTCCAATTTAAAATAGTCACACTTAAATACAAAATTGGGTTCTGGTGTCAAGAAAGCCAGGGATTTCAAGAAGAATGAGAAAATTGCAGCCCATGTAGGAGGGAAAATATAAGACATAATACACATAACACATGCCATATGTGGGGTTTCGTAGCAGGGTATTAGAAAGCATAAATACAGAAAGTATGACATTAACCAAGAGGCTAGATTTTTAAAGAAGGGCTACGAGTGCACTTGCCTATCATATGAGAGGCCCTGGGTTCTAGCCCCAGCACCATGCAAAAACACTATACAATGTTCAAAAATAATCTTTATTTAAAAAAATAAGACCTTTTAAAAATATCTGCAGCCAGGGTTTGGAGGTGAGGACTTTGGAAGCAGCAGGAGGATTATTCTTCTGAGCTGGACAGCCAATTTGCTTCTAATTAGGCTACGATAGGAGCAGAACAGCACCCCCACTGCATTCTGAGGAATCCGCAGCTGTCTGCAGAAAGCCCTGCCTAGTAGCTACTGAAGAAGACTTTGGATTCATCTCAAAGCTCTTTACATGAAAAAGGTAGCTTTTATATCAGGGTGGTTTCCATTCTAGTTCTTCCCAGAGTTGGAGCCTGTGAAACTGCCAACCCTCTAATTCTCCCTGTAGTGCACTGAATAGAGAAATCTATCTGGCTAAAGAATATACTCTGACATAGCATTTTTGGAAAAGAAAATGGCCAAACCATAGGTCATTTGGCTGCACTGTGCTCAGCAGCTATGTCTAGCCTGCAGTCTCAGGGCAGCATGCGCACCAAGGTAGATATGAATGTGGCCCAGTAGAAAATCATGAACTTTGTTAAAACATTATAAGATTATTTTCTGCAACTAGATTGTGTTTTGTAGATAACAGTGTTGTGTCACAGTGTCTAAAAGTTGGACATGCCTGTGAGTCTAAAGCCTACAGTTTTTTTCCCTTATTCTTGGCCTACCATGGAAAATGGAGCAAAAGAAAGAGAGGGCTGTACTACATACACATGTTCCCATCCCATAAGTAGACATACCACAGTCGCCTAGGCAACTTCCTAGTTCTGAATAATTCCACTTTGGCAATCCTTACTGCAAAAAGCTTGTGGAGTTCAACTGGTTATACCACTGCCTACCTAATGACATCATAAGTTAGAGTGCAGAGCTTAGGGGTACCTGAAAGATGATCTAGCACAATCAGTGACTACTTCATATAGCAAACAACAACAACAACAAAAACCAACCAACCAAACAAACAAACAAAAAAGGGCTTACTCAAGGTCAGCTAGTTACAGAAAAAGTTGAGGCTTAATGTAGGTACCCTGTTATTGCATCAGTGCCCAACACATGGTAATCTTATGTCAAATTAGAAAGAAGGTCAATAACTTATTTGTTCTAGTTCTTTGGAGAGGCATATTTAGTGTTCCACAGAATAAAACTATTCCTCTGAAGGTATATTTTGAGCTTTCTTTTCTCTAATAAAATTTTATGGCAAACCTTTTCATTAAAACATAAAAGTATAGCATAATACTGAATTTGTTTTTCCAACCTACATATGAAATCATAAAGATTCTCTCATAGTTCCCTGGAAACTGAACACCTTGGAATGAGAGTGAACGATTTACAGTCCAATGCAGCACATAAAACTGCAAACTGACAATTATAATGATTCCCCCCAAAGTGAGGACTTCAGGGAGAGAGAACATTTTATCCTGACATGGAAGGGAAAGAATGGTATCCAAGAAAAAGTTAAAGCTTGGAGTGGGCTGACCCTCTAGGACAAGGATCTGTTGGGCAGACAGTGATGGGAGCATTCCAGAGCAGGTAAAAGGGCCCAGATGCAGTGATGATAAAAAAAAAAAGAGTAGACAGGAAACTTCAAGTTGTCCATCTTGGTTGGTAGCTACATTGTCACAGTGGTAGCAAGGTGGTGACATGCTCTACCAGTGAAAAATATCAAACAGTATCCCCTAAATAAATACAACATAGTGCCAAGCTAGAATGACTTCATAATGCAAGCTCATCATCTGCATGCCACCATTAACACATGAATTTAAAAGATCATACACAAAATAACTAAGGGAGGCACAGTGAAGGGAGCAACAGAATTTGTAGTAATTGTGGGCCTCTAGATGAGATCAACTACCCCATTTGTGAAATGAATAGTTGATCCCGACATGGATGGGATCTTATCATTTGTGAAAATTCTACCACACATTGTCACTGGAAGACTGAATATATATGCCTGTATAGACTGCCAAACAAATACCAAGTAAACAATCCTTCACAACTGTCCCTGCTCTGCAATTTATTAAGAGCTAGAGCAATCTATCAGTTGATTTGTAAGTTTTATTAGAAAGCAGTGGTTTAGTGGATAAAATATTAAGCTAGAGGATAAGAAACAAGTCTTTTCTCAGGTCCTATACAGAGGAAAACTGGGAAATGTCACATGTTAAGGGTTGTTGTTTTGTGAGACAGGGTCTTATAATGTAGTCCTAAGTGGTCTCTCGGAGTGTAGACCAGGCTGGCCTCAAATTTAAACTCAGAGAGATCCACCTGTCTCTGCCTCCTGAGTGCTAGGATTAAAGGCATATGCCACTACACATAGTTCACACATTTAATTTTTACTTGAACCTAAGAAAGAACATGTACAAAATACGCTACATGATGTGAAAGATGCTATCTATAAATAGGTAGATTCTCTTTAGACCCACACAGGAAATTCTCCAATGATCAATTTAAAATGAGCTCCTTGAATCAATCACATATCTCAGAATCAGGGCCACATTCAGACTTCATGCCTCATACTTACAGACCTCCTGAAAATAGGTAGTTTTGGGGACTCCCTCACTGAAATTTTTAAGTCAGCTGGAGGGTGGCTCTGAAATTGTCAAATTCACAAGATACCTCTCTCTTTCATGGGAAATGAAGGTAACGGCATTCAGGGATAATCATCTAGGAATCATCAAGTACCTTTCTGGGATCCTAAGTATATGGAAATAGGGGAAGGCCCATGGCCATACCTGAATCTAGCTGATGGCTCTATTCACCTGCTCTCTTAAAATATATGCATTATATGTCCACAATAATTTAGACACTGGCTGGTCATTGGGGATTATGGAAGGAAACAAGACAAACAAAATGCCTACTTTCATAATGGCATACCTTATTCCAATCCTCTCCTGTTAAAATCACAGTTGTTTCTCAGTTAAATTTGTGCCCAGACTGCCCCAGATGATTCCACCAGAAGAGTGCCCTTAAGGAGTAGAAACAAAGAGAAAGAAAAAGAGCAACTATTCAGAAAGAGGCTGCAGCGGGAACTGAGTGCCTTCTCAGGTTTGAAGAAGCACCACAGAACTCACCTGATGTGCTTTGTATCTCGTATGGTTTGTGGCTGGGAAGGGTGGTGTGAACAAAGGCTTCCTAAAGAAATTCTTATCAGAGTGCCCATCACCCCACCCTGGGTTAACCAAAGGGCAATGGCTCCAGAGAAGGACACCCTGTGAGATATTCACCTGCCCCGGCTCCAGTGTCTTGCTTCTGGACAGCAGGACTCCTGCCAAAGCCAATCTCTCTGGGTAGTCATTTGAGACCCTCTAAACTTTGGCCCTAGCCCTCCTAACCATTATATTGTTTCCCACTCAAATGATACTAGATAATCTTCCAAAGATGGTTCCCTTGCTACTCATCTTTCTGGACCCAGTTTAAATGCCACCTTTACCAGAAACTGTGACACTATCAGCAAGGAAAACCTCTTTTGAGTTCTACCCAGCTTTGCCCACAGCTAAAAGTCCCTGCTTGGCTACATATTTTTTCTTCCAAGGCAGTGTGAACTCCTTGAGGTTAAGGACTGTTTTATGGCTGATATCTCTTCTCGGGTCCTAAGACAGAGCCTTGGTGTTTACTGAATGCAACACCGAGTTCTTTCTTTTCTATCTGGGAATTCACTTTATAATCTTGTATTCTTTTAACATATTGTTCAACTACACATTTTCTCCACAGTCATGTTAATGAAGCAAGAACAACTCTGATGTGAACTTAGAGGCAGGGTGCCTTTAACAAACCTGTAAAGTTTATGCATGGACTTTGGAAGACTCGGGAGATGTGGACTTTTCTGTGTCCTTCCACTTCTTCCATAATCTCACTTCCACCACCTCCACCCCACCAGCTGTACTTCCTTAGCACCCTACTCTTATTTAAAAAACCACTTTAGCCTTTTAGGTATCCTAGGACTTTACTTCCATATTCTTTCTGTACTTATCTCCCTCTCCAAATTCTTGTAGGCCACTACCCCGATCGCAAAGTGGTTTTCCCAGGCAATTTCAGAAACTCTAAGGATGCCCTAGTATTTATTGAGAGTTTTGATCCTAAGTCATGAGCTCAACATATTTACAAGTAATATACAGATTGTGACATTTAAGGAAGTTTTAATTCCATGAAGTAATTTTTAGCTCAAGTAGAATACCAGGGTTTTATTTGCTAATTCCTAGATTGATTTATTTTCCTATAATATTATGAACTTCAACGTTTGACTGACTTGTATTTGTAGAGGGAAAACATTCAGTGAGCTAAGCATTGCTGTTGACACTAGAAATATGGACTTCATGTGTTATTTGAACTGACTCTAGCAGATACATAGTTACATTTACAGAAGAAAAAACTAAGTCCAATGAATATTAACTGACTTGCCCCAAATCATCCAGTTATTTGTGGAGCTGGGGTTCTACTGTTGTTCCTTTCAGTACATAGCATATATTCCGTTAGTTATGCCATGGTATCCCCTTCAAGAAAACCCAGTTTCTTCTAGTTGGTCTGCCACTCTAAAACAGAACCCACTAACATATAATCTCAGAGAAAGAAACTTGTTATATTCCTAAGCAAAAGGCTACCAAGGACACTGTCTTACTTGTTTTCCTTTTCTTAAAGTGAGCACTGACTTAACCCATCACTTATTACTAATCCAATCATTACAACATCTACTTACACCACCATCACTAAAATCAACCAAGTTTCAAAGCAAATAACAGCCCAAAATATATTAATTCCACAGTTTCTTTCTAGAAATTGAGTGCATGGTAGAGTGGGGTAAAACCAGATGACTCCAGATTTCATAAATATGTCTAATCTTACATTTTGGTACAATGTTCCAGGCCGTGGTGGCACACACCTTTAATCACAGCACTCAGGAGGCAGAAGCAGGCAGATCTCTGTGAGTTCGAGGCCAGCCTGGTCTACAGAGGGAGTTCCAGGACCGCCAAGGCTACACAAAGAAACCCTGTCTCAAAAAACCACACCAAACCCAAAAAACATTTGGTAAATGAATTAGCAATGACTATCAAAGCAAACAACCTAAACAAGAAAGGATAAAATTATTCCACAATCAAATAAACATCTATATATTTCCCCTTTAAGAATTTAAAGTAAGGTCACATTTATTCATTCAACAAACATTTATTGAGCACCAACAATTGTACTAGGTGCTAAGAAATACAACTTGAATAAGATAAACCAGGCTCCCGCCCTCACTGGATACGCTTTGCTTTAAAGTTTAAATGATCTTGCTAACTATGTGATATTTCATGTTCTGTAATAGAATTACATTTTTGTTTGAAAGTCAGAGTCATAGGAGGCCTCTTCTGGAATACTTTTAAATTTCTTTATGGTAAATGATAGAAATCTTTAACTTAAGAGAAGGAAGATCAGCAGTCTCAGGCATGGTTTCAACAAGCATGTTGATGGTCAAGTTGACTGTCAAGCAATAAGGTGGTGGATGGCGGCCAACCAAGGAGGCAGTTTAGACCATTCGGTTGCGCTTGTGGGATGGAGAGTCTGTGGTGGCATCACCAAACTGAGCCGAGGTACGCTTGCGGATTCCCCCACACTCCAGACGGAGAGCCAGTTCTTCTGAGCCCAAGGGGTTCGAATCATCTTCAAGGAAGCTACTTTTCCGACGTCCACTGCTGGCAATACCTCCATCTTGAGATGGGGAGCCAGGAGCGCCAGATCGCATGCTGATGCTTGCCATAGCGCCATTGAGGCCATGGAGGGCGATGGCCTCGTGGAAGGGCTGCAGGTCGACGTCCACAGGTGCGCTGGACTCAGTGGCAGCAGCCTGACTGGAGGCAGCTGCGGGCGGCCTAGGGGACGTCCTGGAGGTGCGTGGCGGGGGAGGGGCGGGGGATACTTTGCCACAGAGGAAGCTTATGAGGTCTTCCCGGCGAATGATGCTCCTGCCCTTCTTCACCCACTCCAGCACATCTCTAACGCGACGCTGGTAGCCAACCTGGACGCCCAGCTCAAAACTTCGCTGGTAGGCATCCCCGCTCTCTTTGTAGAGGCTGGTCACGGCCATGGCCGCATTCTGGAAGGGGTCCCACATAGAGAGTCCTGGCTGTTGGCACCCGGAATCTTTGTAGAGCTGGGCCACCGCAGTGGCTGAGATCTGGAAGAGGTGCCAGAGCCTCTGCCGCTCGATCTTGAGCCCAGCCGCATCAGCAGCCGCCTCCTCCTGCAGCTCGGGGGACAGCTGCTCTTCCTGCTCCGCCTCAGCAAGGCACTGGCGCTCCCACTTAGAAAACCAGGGCTCCGCGACCTCGGCCTCACAGTCCTGCTGCTGCTCCTCCATCCTTCTCTTCCTCCAGGCCGCGCGCCTTCCTCCACTACAGTCTGCGCTGCTGACTGTGGCTGCGGCTCCTTCACCTCCACCTCCACCTCCACCTCCACCGCAGCTCACCTCAGGCTCGGGGGGCCGCCCTCTGCCTTCCGCGGCCGCCGCCGCCGCC